TTAGGGTTTTCATACCCTCCTACCAGGTCTTAGCTTGACTACCCTTGGCTTAATTCCACCCACTATCTGCCTCGGAGAACATCGCTCGCCGTGGCGACCCATCTGGTGACATGCGAAAAACATGCCTCAACCAACGTAATCTTTGGAGGTCGACCACTTGCTCCAGTGGGCGATCGCAGTTACTTTGAACTCTGTGCCTAACCTCAGCGTTGCTCGTCCGGCTGCCCCACCAGATTCGTGCAATGCTGCGTAGACAGCAGTGCTTAAACACCGACAGTCCACCTTTATCCTCTTTTCTTAATGGCCAAGTTTCTGCTCTGTATAGCCGAACTGCCGCGACATACACTCGACCCTTCATAGACAGCCGGATTTCGCGACGGTGCCAGATATCTCAAGTTGGCAAATGCCAACCGAGCTTTCTGTATGCAAGCTGACAATTCACCCGTGATGCGCCCACCGGGTGAGATATAGCTGCCCAAATAACAAAACTTATTCACTTGATCTATTAATTCCCCAGGTAGAATGAGTCTGGGTGCCGGACCAACCCAGTCTTATGGTAGCAAACTCAGGCAATTCCGAACTCCATAGTGAGCTTTCGTCCCCCAATGCGTTTTCCCAATTCTCCTCTATTCCCTCCCTGTAGTTTCCCGGTCTTTACAAGCAAGACTTCGAAACCATTCGTCTTGGTTTAATGATAACCAGCCGTGTATCATTGACCTCAACTGACTGATTAATCACAGGTTCACATCAACCGTTATATTGAATCTAGATGACCCTCTTCACCCACTGCATCCTGATCTCTCCTCTTGTCGTTCCCAGTCGTCCACACGCTCCTCTTGTCGGCATTTAACCTCTCTCATTTACAAGAATTCCCTTGTGTCCTACCTGGCTTGAATCCTAACCACTAGGAAACAGGTCGTTAGTGAATTACGTCAGAACTTTTGCATATAAAAAAAACTTCAGCGACATTATTTACGTTGCATGTGATATGAAATTTAATATTTTAGTCGGTGTGACGACCAGTGTACATTTTAAACCGGAATCTAAGCATATAATCTTAACAAAGTCATTCAAATACAAAGCATTTGGCCATGTGCACCGCAAAATACTGCTGAGGAGATTTTACTATCATGAAATTTGGGGATTCGTCCTGAATTAGCACTTCTTCGACAACGCATCCTGACAGTTCGGGTTTCTTGGTCACTATCTGAACCTGTCAATTTAACCCAAGAGGTTCTACAGAGATCCGTGCTTGTGCCTCAACCTTTTCTAGCTTTTATAAACGATATAACTGACTTTCTGGGACGAAAAACGTTGTTAGCAGATGATGCAAAAATATTCTGTATGACAAAATCTGAGAGCTCATCGGGACTTCAGAGAACATTTGGTGCGGCTTATCAGTGGCCGATTGAAAATGACATCAAATTCAATGCATCAAAATAAAAAGTCGTATCCCTTCGCCACAAAACTTGGCTTACCTACTTCCTGGAACATCAAAAGGTTCCATGTGCCTCGAATTGGAAGCATATTGGTATTATCGTTAAAAATGACTTAATTTGATCTAAAAACTCCACCGCGGCATCTTCCGTAGCAGTGAGACATGTTGGTTTGCTAAACCGAGTCTCTGGCAAATTTGAACTCATGCTGTTCTCAATTTTGTTATCAGCGTACGTTCCAGCATAGTGCCCAAGGCTGCAGCGCGATTGTAAAATTTTGGAACGTTCAGTTAAGTTCTTACAACCATTTACAATGAACTTTCGTGCGCAAGTTTTGGTTGCTGTCTTTTGGAACGTCCAAGACCTATGTGGAAAGACTGTAATCATTGGGTTTGTACTTCATCCAGAATCATCGAATTGGAGTAGACTTGATTTTGGTGTACCAAATAATGCAGAACCCTGACCATCCAAGTCTTTCACTGCTCTCCTGGCCACCCAACAGTCCGCTCAGAGGGCTTGTATTCAAGTTAGTGTTCCAAAAATTGTCCACTACCAATTCCGGTGTCATTTCTTGACCCTCAGAGTGCGTAGCATTTGAAATTCCCTAACAGTTCATGTTGTTTCTGCTCCCACAATTGATGCGTTCAAGCGCAAACTGGATGGATCATTATCATGTCTCATACTTGGACATTCCGTAACAGTACAAGAAATAATGAAAATTCATGACTTTGTTCATCTCCCCTTGATTGGTCAATAGAATTGAACTTTTCACAATTTCAACATAAGACTTCAATCTGCTAAACCATTTGAGATCCAGTTGTGCAAAAATTCATACGAGATAAAAGAAGCCGCTTGTATTTCCAATAATAAAACTTACTTTGAAATGCTCTTTATCACCGTCCGTCAAATCAATCTTGCAATAAACGGTAACTGTGAGCTGTTTACCCCGATAGGTCAAGGCAAAACAATCGACTTTCTTCGCTAGATGCACAGACGCTTCAGGAGGGTGTGAATGGGCCTGAGTTGCAATCATGCTTTACAATCTGACAGTTTACCCAGATAAAAGTGCAAATGAAGCAAACATTCATCCTCTAGCAGGCAGTCTTTCCGATTTGATGAATCACCTGATGGGTATGATACAACTGACGGAAGATAGCAACTCGATGGATTTTGAACTCGAACAGCCGCGTTTAGGTTCTGTCGGAAGCCCGAGATAGAGTCAATCAAGTTGACTACCTACTCTAGCTTGACCAATCGACCAAAATAAAAGCTCGCAGTGTCGAAAGAGTGGAACTAAACAAGAACCCGGGGTTCCTTTTCTCTACTTGTGTTTGCACCAGTTCCCGCTTTATTGTTCTGTGTTGGCACCTCAACTGTTAACTGATGAAACAAATTTACTCGTTACGTTTCTCAAAACACCATTGACATGATTCCGCTGATGAAAAAAACATTTCAATTGAGACTCAGGTGCATAAACAGAGATTCAACGATCCATGATCGACTTATCCGACCACACTGCTGTAATATTCGTCGAGGACAACGACGGAGACGCATACATGCATTAAGAAAGCATACAACTAAGATGTAATAATGCGTTGTTTTATTTATACGTACAAGAAATCTATTTCAGCTGCTCATCAGAATAGCCAAAAACCTATGTTGCAGTGGTGACAGAGCGAACGAGCAAGTGTGTGGGGGTCGGAGGAGTGGATGGAACAGTGATTTACGAATACCGACAGAAGCTGAGTGCAGTCTCTCAGCCAAAGTGCAGAAACAATAAAAAAGGATGAAAAACGTGATCAAACAATTCAGAAAGGGACTTACAGGCACGAAAAGATTGCGGATTTACCGGTGCAGATAGTTTCTGTTTGGACATTGGCGCATTTGTGAATATTGTGCAGGATTTTTTCAGAAAGAACAAAGCAGAGAATGAATAGGGATAAAATCTGCCCAGAGACGAAAACACAACCGGAAATAGGCGCTCATTTGAACGCTTTGAGATGAGCAGCCGAAAGACTTCAGTTTCTCACTGACACTCATAACCAGGAGTAGGAGAAACAAATATTCCAATGTAATGTTCTAGAAGACACTCCTAAAGCAAGCACAAACGAACGGGAAGGAAGTAGGTACATAGTGTGCCTCCTTGCAAAGAATTCAAGTGAACAGGATACCAGCTTCCAGGTAGACATTGAAGATCTTCTCAATAGCACTAATATAGGCGGCCGTACGGATGTCCAGACCGAGGTTATAAGATTCCGCAATGTTCATAATGCGCTGTAAAGGAAATGAGTATAAATCATAAACAATATTAGTAATATTCTAATTGAACTCAATCGGAAGCATAAGTTGTACACTCAAGTAAAATTATTTGCTAACTTGTTTGGTACAAATTTCAGTCTTAACTGGTAAATAAATTTCCTATTTATTTATTTATTTCCAGGCTACTTAAAAATTGAGAATGTTAAAATAAACAATATGTGATACATGAAAGTAAACTGGGAAAAGTTTCTATTCGTAATAATACAACTGAGCTTTTTAATTCATTTTCTACTTCATTAATATACAATTGTACGCTCAATTTCCAAGAAAGGTGTTGTGGTCAATCAAACGCTGGCTGGGTGGTATACAAAAGTGGGCAAAATGGCTTGCAGTCAAATTTCAACACAGGACATTTGGGCCTCTATACGGAACACTTCGACCATTTAACCAACAACAACAACGCCGGCCGAAGCAACCTTCGCTTTAGGTGGCTTATAAAGTTTGAATTCAGACGTTTACTCATCGATCGAAGTATCACTATTGGACCACAAGACATATTCTATATTCTATACTTAGAATTACAAGATCATGAAGTAATGGGAAAATAGCAGGTAATGGGGAAAACCATTGTATGATGGGTAAGTGGGGATGAAAAACTACAGGCCTCTACAGTCATAAAGTAACAGTCACTCACTTTGGCCGAGCGCTCCATGGTATATTCCAAGCCGGAGTGCACAATGTCACGTTCCGAGGCACCCTAGTGTGTATCCAAAAGAAGGGGGGATATAAATAAAAATCGCACTGTACCAATATATCCTATTCTTCCTTGCATCACAAACAACCATTGTTTTAGCAGTGCTAGCCATTGTCTCCCGGTAACGGCAAAATGCGAACATTTATGCGCATGAATGAACACCCCCATTTGCGATAGTCTTGAGACCATTAGCCAGGGCAAAGCCACGTGCTGTCGAGNGACATCCCCAGACCGTTGATGTGTACCCCAGTGTGCTTTCACTGGAATTTTCGTCTGCTGCATATAAGTTTTATTACATTAAGGAGAACGGTACATAATAGAAGAGACCAGCCCGATGAATGAAAATCAACGGCATACTTAGAATAGACAACAACCCAAGTTCGACAGGAGAATAAAGCGCGCCGACAAGTTCATTTAATCGGAGAGTAAGATCAAATAGAAGGGAAATTCAACAAGTTTACCACAAAGTAATCGGAAGACTGGAGCATAAATGAGTCAGAAGTGCTGGCTAATGCAAGAATAATTCATTTAAGAAGTCAAACTGGACCCTCAAAAATGAAACATTACAACACAACGGTGGCCAGAAAANTGAATGAAAACATAATCACAGATTTGAAGACAATCCATCTATCAACGGACCGATGAACCACCAGTAGTTCACTCAAGGGAGTTGGGAAAAATTCACTTTCAAAGCAACCAGGAGGAGTATGAATCTCATCCACCGCGTCCTGGTTGTGGTAGCGGTCATGTCCTTAATAAGGGATCCATGTGCATCGTCCACATAGCATACGCTGTGAGTAAATGGATACCAACCTCTATTGCCTCATAGTTTTCCCATTCCGACCCACCGCTTTGTGAGTCAGGCTTTATTTATCCGCAAGTTCCCACTGAGAATCTCCAAGACAATGCACCTGCTTTGGCCTAGCATTATTCCACCTAGGACGGCCCATTTTTGATGATAGACACTATTGTACAGCGATTTGTTTGGAACGCAGTCTAACCCGTAGCCATATTAAACTAACGGTTCATTTTCGCCTGTTTTTTGAAATTGGCAATTTATTTGCTAGCGTTTCATCAACAGCAGAGGTGACATCTCGGGTGCTGATGTCACACCGACTGTTTCAGGAAAGTTTGCAAACAAATCGCCAAGCTTGGCGAACAGATGAAAATGAATTCAATTCATCCAAGCTAAGAGAACTGATTTTAATACTTTGTCAGACGTAACCACCGTCAGTGAATAAAAAGGATCAGAATGTACACCAACTACGCAGGACGAAGAATGGGAACTGAGGAAAAAATCTAGCTAAAAAAGATTCTGGCACAAACTGTGAAATGCAAGGTAACTCACAGCAATGCGCAGCTGGAATTCCTCTGATGGAACAATTGGAATTGGTTCGCCGAATTTCTTCTCTAACGATTGTCGAACGCTGTCTGAAGTCGTGGATGAAGGGGAAACACGAGAGTTAGGTAGGCTCCGACAAGCATTCGAACATGTATGAAATGGCTTCAGCGCTCAGGGTGTTCAGCCTCAAGTTATACAGGAAACGGTTAGACATTCAAACAGGCATGGACAAAATCGTGGAGAAAAATAAGGAGTAACGAAAACTCACTAATAGGGATAAAAACTCACCAAGAAGTTGGTAGTTGGAATCACGCTCGTATTTGAAGGTCAGACGACCGTAACTGACGTGATTCAGATTCTTCAACCATTCAAAGTATGAAACCGTCACACCACCTGCGTTCAGATACAAATCGGGGATGACCAATTTGTTCTTTTCCCGTAGGATCTATATGAATGGCAGGAAAAAGTGGAACACTTAAATCTTTTTAGTGCGGGATTCACTTGAACCTCGGGCGCTGGTAGTGATGTGCTGGTTTTCCGGAGAAAAGTACAAAAATACAGCGGATAGTCAAACCAACTAATTAGAACATGGTCAGCAAAAGTGAGTACAGAAATTAAGCCATTCCCATCTAATAGTGTCCTTATGTTGGTCTGCTCTTGTTAGTTTATAAATCAGATACCAAACAAAGATAATTAGAAACAGAGCAGGATAAACAACTGTGAATCGTTTTGGAGAATGCATTGCTATACGATGAAGTGTCAGAGATGAACTAAATTTCACAAGATGACTCATACTTTAAGCAGTAGATACACATTACCTATTCGGTAGGACATTGCCGATTCGTGAACCAGGAAACCGAATAGTTTCTGCAAACCACGACGGGTAGGTACCGATTCCTAGAGGAATTTCGCATTCAGTTTTCTAAGAAACCACACTTTCCATTCCAACAAAGCTTTTCCTTAGTTTATCTTAACAATTTTGTTGAAATAATTTTTTAAGTTGAACAGGACTGACAAAAACATCAAGTTACGTGATATATTTTTAAAAACCGTAGAGCGTTTCTGTCATTAATCGCCCATTACAGAACCCCTGAACCGATTTCTTGACTGTAAATATGTAAGCACTGTGACTGTAATGAAAATATTCATAAAAATGCGACGAAATCGTCCTGGAAAAGTGTTGGTTAATTTTACAAGCAATTTTTCACTGGAAATAATTTAACATACTTTATCTGCCGCCGGAGTAGTCGGACCGTTTGCACCCTCTCCGATAATTTTTGCACGAATTTTGTCAGCATTTCCACCGTGGATTTGCTTTTCGTTTGCTGCAGGTACGAGGATATCACACTCTTCAAACAAAAGCGAGTCTTTTGTGTAGGCTTCTGCCTTCGGGAAACCAACAATCGTTCCGTGCTCCTAAATGGGATTGGCAGTATTTAAAAACAACGCCAGGTTGTTTAGAACTGCTTATTTTGAATGGCATGAAACACAATTAAATCCGGTTTGATACCACATGAGCATGAAAAGTGGTACACACAACAAAGGCTTGAGTGAATACGCACTCAGTAAAATTTCCATCAAAAAATGAAGCACAAACAAGTCGACGGGAAAAAATGGAGGTCTTCTTGTTTACAAAGATAAAAGCAAGACATTAGTCATGAGGGGGGCAAAGGAATTGAACTTCAAAATTAATTCATTGAAAGAATTTAGGGTATATACCCCACTGTACAACATATCAATCCCTATGAATAGAAAGATTCATGGTATTTACTACATTGGAGAACAAAAAAAATTAAGTATACCACGAAACTTACAATTTTCCAGTCCTCCAATTCTCTTGGATTGATACCCTTGGGATTGTAGATTTGACCATCGATCTCCGCAACACCAATACATTTAGCACCAGCACGATCCAAGTATCGCATAGTGTGCAAACCGACATTACCAAAACCTTGGATGATGAAAGTCTTGCCTTTGAGCCCAGGTGTTAACCCAATCATTTGCGCATATTTAGGATTGTTGATGAAGTTTTCAATACCATGGAAGACACCCTGGAAGAGTGATCATAACATACAGTTCTTATTACCACATCAACGTGGTTTGTTCTAGACATAAAACAAAGTGACAATAGCAAAGAGGAAAAATCAAGATCCGAAAGAGAAATGCCGCGCAGAAAGACCAAGCAGAAGATTATTCATTCCATGCGTTTTCATCTGATCGTTCTCGAAAATGTTTAAATGAACGCAGTAAAGTGGGTTACCCTAATCAAGTACTTTTGCCGCACTCACAACTTTCTGACTGTGGTAGTAGTTTATTTGGGGATCGAAGTGTAGTGAACACCTCGAAAGTCGTACATGGATAGGCAGAAAAATCCTCACACTCTAGCCTCATGAACATGTGAGGAGCGCACAACCAGTCCTTGACATTCGAGCTTCAAAACAGGAGTGGCTGAAACCTGCACAAGGATCATTATTTTGCATTCTAAAATGCACGGAGCACACCTAAACCAGTAACAACTCTTGTCAATGTATCCGGAATGCTTTGCAATAGCCGCATATCGTTGAATACACGAAAAAGTACCGCTAAAGTATATCCAATCGCATACTTTTCTTCCATTTGTTCATGCAATACCAATATTTTGAGTGTCATTGCGTGTTTGACGTCCAGTATTATCGAGTATCCTAATAATATCGGAACTCTATGGATAGATAACACCGCGGAAGTTAATGGTAACACAGTCTAAGCTCATGGAAGTGTGAAATGTAAGCCGTGAGAAAACTCAATCGCTCGAGCCATAATGAAATGGTGTAGTCAAGTATAATACACTGGGTTCAGCACCCTTGAAATAGTCGGGCTTGCGCAACTCCCCAACCAGTGCAGGGTTTTCTGTTGTAAGCAAAACAAGATCTAGGAAAAATGTATGAAAACGTAACATCAGCGGAGTGAGTGAAGTGGCTCATTTCAAACTGATTTTTTGGGTTTCACACGATGTCCTTATACAGACGATTTTATTTTGAATACACCCAAATGTTTTGAACACGTTTTGCTATATATTCCGAATTAACTGCGGAAAAAACAGAACTAGTACAATAGGTTCCGGGATAATAACAATAATCTGATTAAGGTGGAAAAACGCTGGCAAGTTCATACAATGAGACAATGAACAACGGGTTTTATAATGTGATACTAAAAAGCATAAACGGATAACAATGTAGGACAAGATGAACAGGATCAGGGAACTCACGCGGCCAGTGGCGGAAACGCGACCGTGAATACCACCCATTGTGATTGGTTTCCCGGTAACACATGCATGGGCGTGCATATCGAAGTGACCTAAAAATAATTCAAATTTAGAAGTGCATTTTAGGGTCTACAAATGAAATGAACTAGGCTGGCGATAGCCATACCGTGAATACAGTTGGTCATGGATTCACAATATGGTGGATCAATATGTGTTTAGCTCCTGACGATAAAGACTACGTCTGATCCCAAATGAATTTGACAAACCGAAAATAATTTTTTCAGGAATGCGCTTTATTCGCCCATTTGGAACAGAAGCTTTCGTGAAACTGATATTTATCATTATCATCATCGTACAGCATAATATAATGAAGCGAACCTCATTGATTGCTGCTTTGGCGTGCATACGAATACAGGAAACCTAGTAATAAAATTTTATAAAAGGCAATGAAGGGCAAGGACGCACAAAGGAATTAAAAACAGTAGCTTGAAGTACGTCAGATGATGCCTCAGTTCAGTTGACGGTCTTTCCCTGGAAACCAACATATGGGAAAGGGTACGCTAGAACTGTAAAAGGTTGTGATTTGACTGTATAAACAGGTAAATTTATTTTGGGTGGTAGAAGTGAAGATGGGGCGAGAGATAGTCGGGTGTGATGCATCAGACAGGATTGAGTCACACAGACGGTCACATGCTTCTACGTATTGGCTTATAATATATTCAACCCTAATAGTTTTTCCTACTTAGTGGTTGGAATCCCTGTCAGTACTTGTCCATAAAGCTCCAATGAACACAAACTAAAAATAATTTCACACCGCATCGGTCGTCACGCAGGAGGATCAGGACCGCGCTGCCCATTGCATCGAGCGGGGTGAGTAGTTGAAAGTGGGCTACTGCCCCGACATCCCAACCTCTGTTTAAATCTTTGCCTTCTAAACCCAATTATCTTCCTTTGCCCCCTCATCCAATTCGTGACATTCCATCAGCTAACTTAGTCGTCAAAGGTTGTTTCCAAATAGTACTGTAAATAGTTTGTCTGTAAATAAAGTCCACATTTTGAAGCCTCGTCAAAATCTCAATCTGCGGGGCTTCAACTTGAGGACTTGGACGCAGTTGGGTCAACAAGCGTGGCTTGCGTGTACAATGATATCTCGGTCATCCGAATAAATTGCTTCCTTTGTTAGCTCATCATCGTCTGTGCACGTTGAGTAGAAACTGGAACAGGAACTTAGAGAACTGCGGCATGGTAGAAATTAGATCAGATTAGATTTGCAATGCACGCGGAGCTGAGTCGGAAGTCTGTCGAAGACACTGAGTCTCTCAGGAGTCAGTAATCCTGATAGAACAAAGGCAAAAGATCCCAATGTGCCAAGATCAGTATAGGAACCAGTGGCGCCTGCAACGTCAACCCATGAAAAGCCTTAAGAAAGATCGCGAAAACTGGTGGGCCAGTGAAGTGGAGGTAGCTTCTGCATCAGGGAATAGTCAAAGAATGTTTTACCTAGTACGCAGCACCGGACGCAGTCGCATACAGATCAGTGAAACCACTTGCCACAAAAGTGGACAGAGTATCCACAGAAGAACGAACTTTATCGCTGAGCGGAGTACTTTAGTGAACAATTGGCCTGATGCTAATGCGGTTCTTCTGGTGATTGCTGCGGAAACTCCATGGGTGGTAACATGTGAGCATCCATCAGAATTAGAAGTACGAAGCTATTATTCAATCATTAAAGAAAGAGAAGGCTGCGGGACCTGATGAGCTTCTCCCCATTCTTTTCAAGCTCGGTGGTGACTGCCTCGTTGACTCCATTACTAGCTTACTTCGTAGCATCTTATAGGCGGAGCGTGTCTCTTTATCCTGGGGCGAGTCGTTGATGGTTCCGGTCTTCAAGAAGGGATCAGGCAACGACTGCACAAACCACCGCGGGATTAGTTTAGTTTTAATAATCAAAAAAGTGTTAAATTCTGTGATACTTCCTCGCCTCAACCTTGAGGGAGAGAACTGTCTACGATCAACAAGCAGGACTCCGGCCACGTAGCGGTTGCTTCGACCTATTCTTCACTTTGAGTTAAGTCCACAAATTACGGTGGACTAAGCAAAATGTTTGAAACCATGAAGTGTTTGTAAAGAGTGCCCTATTTCACCGTTCCTGTTCAACCTCGTCGTAGACGAAATACTGTAGAACGCACCAAGTGGTCTCCAAAATGTTCGTGTTCAATGAGCAGTTTGAGAAAACTGCGATTTTGAGTCCGCTGACACTGTTTGTCTGTTCTAATGTATGGAGGATGCGCAAGGCGCTCTTAACAGGCTTTCAAGTTGTCACTCCAGTTGATATGCCCTTTGCACCCTCAGAGTGCAACGTGATGCTAAAAGATTGAGTATCGTCTATCCCGGAGCTGACGTTTGATGGTCAAGAATTAGCTATAGTGGAATGTTTCACCTACTTAGGTAGCTGCGGTACGGATGACGGCAACATAGTCACGGAAGTAACCGTTTGCATTTACAAGGCACGATCTGCTTACGCAAGACTGAAACGCCGTTGGTGGAGACGTGATTTTCTATTGTAACCGAAATGTCGTGTATACTGCACCAGTGTGCGGCCAGTTCTGTTTTATGGTTGCTTGTTTCAGTTTATACAACCATGAACCATGCACTTTCTTGCGCCGGTTTTGGTTGCTGTCTTTTGGCCACCCATTTGGACGAAAGAGCAGAATGCGGATTAGAATGTTGAGAGGAAATTCAAGAAGATAATTCATAAAGACTGGGATTGCAAGAATATTTAGTAGATGCACGAGCACCACTGTCTGTGACACCCAGCCATAACACTAAGTGTCTCTAACCACCAGTTACCATCGTCCCGGAGTCTCCATCTAGGGAGTCTGACGGGACCCATAAGACCCAGTTTCCTGGTCAAGGTTTTCATACCCTCATGCCAGGACTTGGTTTGACACCCT